CTGCCCCGGCTGCTGACCAGTCCAGCCCTATCCCAGGAATCCAGCAGCTGCAAGCCTGGCAAGCTCCAGAGGCCCGCGCGCCGGGACGCAACGTCAAGGACCGCGGCCCCCCGAGCCCGAGAGAGCCCACCCCACCACCACCGCGGGAGAAGCCGGCCTCGAGGAGGAGGAGGAGGAGGAGGAGGAGGAGGAGGAGGAGGAGGAGGAGGAGGAGGGAGGGGGCCCGGGCAGAGCAGGGCTCGTCCACCTGTTGGGCCGCCACGCCTGCAGCAGCAGGCGGCCACCTGCCGAAGCGGCGGGGACGAGCGGATCTGCGCCTCGAAGGTCCCCGCCGCAGTTGCCCAGGGGGGAGGAAGCCCCACTGGTGGCCCCACGCGCCGAGGCTCGAGTCGGGCCTGTCCCTCTACAGGAGGGGTATTCAAAAGTAGTCCAAAAATCATCTGGGAACCATTTTTGGACGATCTTCGAGCTCTTTTTGTAGTATTTCTAGGGTGTTTTCAACTCTTCGCCCGAAATCCCCCTGCAGGGGGACAGGCCCGACCTACGCCCAGGCGGCAGTGGGCGCGGGCGCCGCCTCCAGGCGGGCGCCGCGTCCAGGCGGTCAGGAGCCAGATCGCCCTGTCGCTGCAGCCTTGGCCACCCGTCGAGGTGCCCCCTTCTGGCCCTGGCCCCCGGGGGCAGCCCGGGCCCCGAGGGGCCCGTCGTGTTTTTTCGTGTCGTGGCTGGGCCAGCCACAAGGGGGCACGACCAGCCCCCAGGGGCCCCAAGGGGGGCAGCCCCCGGCCCCTTATGACATGTCTTCATGCCATTGTTCCGTGCTTGTCCTGGTTGCAGCCCTGACCTCCTGTCGAGGGGCCAGGGCTGTCAGGGGGGGGCACGAATCATGACATAAAAACAATATATATAATATAATATAATATAATATACTATAATATAATATAATATAATATAATATAATATAATATAATATACTAATATAATAATAATAATAATAATAATAATAATAATAATAATAATAATAATAATAATAATAATAATAACAATGATACTAATAATAATACTAATAATACTAATAATGATAATAATATTAATGATAACAATAATGATAATACTACAAAATAATAATAATAATAATAATAATAGTAATAAGAATAATAGTAATAATACTAGTAATAATAATAGTAATAATAATAGTAATAATAATAGTAATCGTAATACTAATAATACTAATAATCATAATCATAATCATAATCATAATCATAATAATAATAATATAATAATAATATTATAAATAATAATAGTAGTAGTAATAATATATAAAAGAACCGGAGGTCCGGGATTTCGCGGATCGGCGCTTGACCCCCCTGGCGCGCGGAGCGCGCCAGGGCCCGCGCCGGAAGGTGCCGCCAGGGGAGTCCAGCGCTGATCCGAGAACTCCGCGCGGACCTCGGAGCTGTTTTTGTTTATGCCATCCTTCATCCCCTTACCAACGGATTCCTCGGGGAGGCCCAGATGGCCTCCAGAGCACCCATCACGAGGCCAACAGGGCTCCAAAAGGGCCCCCCGAGTGGCGCGAGGGGTTGGGGACACGTTAGGCCAGGGCTCGGCGAGGGCCCGCATCGAGGTCGGGGGCGGCCAAGAGGGGGGGGATGACTAGAGGGGGTGGATATCATGGCGTGGGCCATGATGCTTCCTCAGATCTCATGGCGTTTTCTCCTTTTTCATTACGTCCCTGGCCCCCCCCCCTGGGCCGCGCACATGCCGCCGGCCATGATTTGCACCCCCCCTCTTGGACGCCCCCCCTTTGGCCGCCCCCGAAGAGGCCGAAAGCGGCCAACGGTTTTTCATGGCCATGACCGCGCGCGGCCAATGTTTTTTTTCCGTGCGGCCTGCCCTCCGCCGCGGGCCACGCCCGCGCGCCAAGAGTCGACTAGACGTAAGAGTGACCTTTGGTGCGGGCCCAATGGGGGGCCCCCCATCGCTGAGCGCGAAGCTGCAGCGGCGGCTTGCGCGCCTGGTTTTGGCCCACTCGCGCCCCCCCCCCCCCCCTTGAATCCGCGCGCCAAAGGTCACTCTTGCCCAGGGCCGCTCTTACGCGTGGCCGAGGCCCTCGTGCACAGGGCGAGCTCCCAGCTCCGCGCGTGACGCGCTACAGGCTCGGAGCGCGTCTTCCAATCCCCCCCCCACCCCCCACCCCCATCCCCCTCCCCATCAAATGGGGATGCGAAGTCCCTGGAGACGGGACGGGGTGGGCATGGTCAGGCATCGTAAGCTGGCCCACTACCGAAAAGAAGCATCATAGCTGCTACGTCGGTACACAGGACTGATCCACTGACGGATCCAATTCATCCTCCATTCGTTGGCATTGGCGTCAAATCGAAATCATGCGCAGCAGCACGCTCTCCCCCCGCGTCGGGAACAAGTCACCACGGAGGGCTTCCGGCTGTGCTTGGCCTCTGGGAGCCTCGCGGGGCCCCCAGGACCGTCCGAGGAGGAGGAGGAGGAGGAGGAGGAGGAGAACGAATTGTGCAGGACGAAGAGCCGGCCCCGGGGAGAGGGTCGGGGCTTCCGAGGCCCCCGCACTGAAAAAAATCAGGGGCCCCCGTATTGAAAAATTCGGGGGTGGACAGAACCCCCAACAGCGACACGTCGATTAGTGAATTGTCCGTTTTCGGTTCTCGAGAGGGCGCCGTGGCCTGCGCCCGCCAGGGTTGGGCCTCAGGTCGTTTTCACTAATCCACGTTTTACTGAAGGGAGGTCTGTCCATCCCCGAAAAATCAGGGCAGCGCTCACAACGTCTGAATCGCATGACACCCCCCAAACGTGAAACAAACGCTCCCAGCGATTCTGTGTTTGCGACACTGCGCGGGCGCCGATTGAGCATGAAGGCGAGAAGGGCCGCATCTTGCAGCCGAGCAGCTCTTCATCAGATCGTGGGTGCCCAATTGCAGGCACTCCCTGGACACGCGATCCGCATGTCTTGGGAGTGCTTGAAGGGGCCCTGGGACACACAAATCGATACACACACAAGTCACAGGATTCCCCATGTTTTGCCATATTTTCGGGGTCTTTGTCCTCCCCCCCACTTCCCGTATGTTCCCATAGCTCCTGGAGGTTCGACGATTCCTTGTGTCTGTGTGTGTTTCAGGAGGGAAAAAACACACAGACACAATGAATCGTCGATTCCCCAGAAAATACGGGGAAATAGGGGAAGTGGGGGGGGGGAAGACAAAAGCCCAGAACATATAAGAAAATAGAGGGGAATATGTTTATTTGTGTGTATTCATTTGCGTGCCCTGGGGCCCCTTCAGTGTCGTTTCCCCTCTGGAGTGTGCTTCCCGGACGGGGTTTTGCCTGGACCCTCCACGGGCTCCCCGGGAGGCCCCGCCTGGACCGGTGCCTGGTGCCCGGGGGCGTGGTCTGGACCTCGGGGCCGGCGCCGTGAACGCGTCACCACGTCAACTCGGGGGCGGCCACGCGAAAACGACGCGAAGATCGGGACAAAATCGGGTCGGGATGATTCGAAATCTCTGAGAGTCGGCGGGTTTGGAGGATGTAGTGGGCCCCGCGGCCGCTCCAGAGCGTTCCGGAGCGCTCTGAGAGCGCTCCGGAACGCTCTGGAGCGATTTATCCCGATCCTAGCCCTGTTTTACAAGCCAAGAGGGGGGGAGGGACGACTGGGGGTGGGGGGAAGGGGATGTCCCGGCGTGGGCCATGAGGTTTCCTCAGATCTCCTGGCGAGTCTTCTCGTGTCATGACGTCCCCGCCCCCCCCCCCCCTGGGCCGCGCACGTGCCGCCAGCCATGGCTTCCGCCCCTCCCCTCCCCCTCTTGGACGCCCCCCCCCCCCCTGGGCCGCCCCCGAAGGGGCCCGCGCTGCGAAGACGTCACAGCGTCGAGGCTCTGGGCCTCTGCCCTTCTTCGCGGCCGCTCTCCACCTCTTCCTCCTCATCATCAAACAGCATCAAACAGCATCATCACCATCATCATCATCATCATCATCATCATCATCATCATCATCATCATCATCATCATCATCATCATCATCATCATCATCATCATCATCAGTATCATCATCATCATCATCAGCAGCATCATCATCATCATCATCATCATCATCATCATCATCATCATCATCATCATCATCATCGCCACCATCATCACCATCATCATCGCCCTTCTCCGCGGCCGCTCTCCACCTCTCCCCGTCCGCGCAGCTGCGCAGTGAGCCCCTCCGCGCCCCGCCGGCTGCTGCTGCCGAGCCGAGCGCGCCCCGTGCGCCACGCCGCCGCGCACGACACAGCACGGCGTGGCGGTGCGCGGGGCGCCCGGCGCCGCACCGCGGCCCCACAGAGGGGGCTCCGCCGAAGGTCCCAGGGGCCCACACGGCCCCCAGAGCACCCCGCCCGAGGCCAAGGGGGGCCCCACGGGATCCCCAGCGCGGCGCGAGGGGCTGGGGACACACACTGGACCATAACCATAACTAGGGCTCGGCGAGGGCCCCCACAGAGGTCGGGGGCGGCCAAGAGGGGGGCGATGGCTAGGGGGGGGGGGGAGATCCTGGCGTGGGACATGAGTTTTCCCCAGATCTCATGGCGCCTCGTCCCATGTCATGACGTCCCCGGCCCCCCCCCCGTGGGCCGCGCACGTGCCGCTGGCCATGACCTGCGCCCCCCTCCTCTTGGACGCCCCCCTCTTGGCCGCCCCCGTTGCAGGGGGGCTCCACCGAAAGCTCCCAGGGGACGCCGCCCGAAGGCGCCCAACCCGCCCATTTCGGCACACCTCTCACGAGGCGGGATCCGAATGGAGGAGGAGGAGGAGAAGGAGGAGGAGGAGAAGGAGGAGGAGGAGGAGGAGGAGGAGGAGGGCTCGTCCTCCCAACCCGCCCACTTCGGATCGTGGGCCCCACAGGGCGCTCCACCGCAGGTCCCGGGGCGGGCGCCTCCGAGCCGGCGCCCGCGGCCGCCGGCAGGGGCAGGCCCCCCCCGCGAGGACTGCCGCAGAGCGCTGGCCCAAGAGCCCCCGGAGAGCCAGGCCGCCAGGCGGCGCAGAGCCCCGCGCGGGGCCGCGCCGGGCGCAGCCCAATGGACGTCGATTACGACGAGGACGCGCCCGCGGCGGCGGCGGGGCGCAAGGCGAAGGGCCGCGGGGCGGCGGAGGACGACCGCTACGCGGGCAAGGCCGGGCAGTTCGAGACCCTGGGCGGCGGCGACGGCGAGGGCGGCGGGCCTGCGCGCTCCATCGAGGGCTGGGTGATCATGGCCTCGGGGGTCCACGAGGATCGGAGGAGGGAAAGGCGCCCGTGCCGCTACCTTTCCTGCGGTTTCCCCCTCGTGGGCCTCCTGGGCTGCCTTCGTCGCCACCGCCGGATTCGCTGCGAAATTCTAGTCAGAACGCACCCCGGGAGAGGTCCGGGGAGTAGCAATATCGGTACCTTTTGGTTCCCCTAGAGGAGGCCCAGGAGGACGACGTCTTCGAGGCGTTCGCCGAGCACGGGGACATCAAGAACCTGCACCTCAACCTCGACCGGCGCACGGGCTTCGTGAAGGGCTACGCCTTCATCGAGTATGAGACCAGGCAGGAAGCCGAGGCCGCGGTCAAGGGCATGGACGGCCAGGCGCTCCTCGAGCAGAAGCTGTCCGTGCAGTGGGCCTTTGCGAAGCCCGGGGGGCGCAGGCGCCGGAAGTGATCAGCCAACCAGCTTCTGGCTATTGGTATCACGCCGCGAAGAATCGCATTTTGCCATTTTTTGATGTTCGTACCTATTCTCTCCAATCACCTTCGGTGTTACATCTCCAAAGCGGTCGCCGTCTTTCGATGTCTGTTGAGGCTCCGTCACCTGCACAAAGCGCGCCTCTTCGCGCTGCTCATTTCCCCCGAGGGGTTCCAGCCAGGAGCATGTGCATCCTTGCAAGGACCGCATGGGCACTTGCCGAGCCTGGCTTGCTCGTTGGATGGAACTCGCTTGAGCCATGAACGATTCGCATCGGCGGAACAAATTGTCCTCATCCTTTTCTGGTCGTTCGGGCCCCCTCTCGTCGCCACAGCTGGGTCTGTCTCGGGGCCGGACGAAAGGGGGGGATAGGTAAAGGGGGGGTTACGAAATTTGCTGCATGCAGCTGGTTTCGGCCCCACCGAGGGGCCCATTCCGCGATACATGGCCGCCTCCGGCGCCAGGAGGCGCCAGGAAAATCAGCTACGGGAGCTGATTCTAAAACCCCCCTTTTTTTTTTTTCTTTTTTTTTTTTTTTTTTTTTTGCTATCCCCCTTTTCGCCCGACCGAGGAGGAGGAGGAGGGGAGGAGGAGGCGGAGGAGGAGGAGGAGGAGGAGGAGGAGGAGGAGGAGGAGTAAGGAGGAGGAGGAGGAGGCGGAGCGGAGGAGGAAGGAGGAGAAGAGGAGGTGGGAGGGAGGGTGGCGGGGAGGGAGGGAGGGAAGGAAGGCGGGAGGGAGGGAGGGAGGGAGGGAGGGAGGGAAGGAGGGAGGAGGGAGGAGGGAGGAGGGAGGAGGGAGGAGGGTGGAGGAGGAGGAAGAGGAGGAGGATTAGGAGGAGGAGGAGGAGGAGGAGGAGGAGAAGGAGGAGTGAAGAGGATGAGGAGGAGGAGGAGGAGGAGGAGGAGGAGGAGGAGCAGGAGCAGGAGCAGGAGCAGGAGCAGGAGCAGGACTCTTGTCGCCAGAACGCGCTTCGGGGGATGTCCGCGGGCCGACCCCGAAGGGGCGGCAGGGGGAAGAGGCAGGGGCAGCGCCTGCCCAGGGCAGGCGCGCGGCTCTGCTCTCGGGGGCCCCTCGCGGATCCCCCGGCGACGCGTCGCCGATCCCAGGTCGACACTTCCAGGCGAGCGCAAGCATGGATCAAGGGGGCGTGGATCAGCGACGGTCGGGGGCCACATCCTCGTTCCTTATTATTATATACCCCCACCTGCCTCGTATTCCGGCCGATAGCAACCCAATCCGGGACCTCCCACCCGGATTGTACAAAAATCAATACAAAGTGGCCGTTTTTCTTCTCGCCATTGTCTTTTTTGTCGTCGACCATGCGAAAGGCGTGGCAGGAATGGGACGCGGCGCACATCGCGCGCGGCAGTCAATCCGGGCCCGCCCATCCTGATTGTAAAAAATCAATATAAAGTCTTCGTTTTTTCCTCTCAGCATGGCCGGCCTTGTCGCCGACGATGCGAAATATGTGGCAGGAATGGGACGCGGCGCACATCGCGCGCGGACGTCCATGCGGGCTGCGGGCCCTCCCATCCTGATTGTAAAAAACAATACAGCGGGGCGCGGCGTATATCGCGCGCGGTTTTGTTTCTCGTCGGCGTTGCTCAATGCGCGGCAGGAGTAGGACGCAGCTCATGTCGCGCGCTGAACGTCTAGCCGCCCACGATATAAGATAAACGACGGGCGTCGGACGCGACGCGCTTGCTTCTTATGTTGTGGGAGGGCGGGTGGAAGTGGACGGAACCCTCTCGCTCGTTCGAGCTGGCTAACTTGATGCGAACCCTACCCCTACCTCCCACGATTTCTGAGGGGGAGGGTGGAGTTCACTTGTTTCGGGAAGTGAACCCACCCTCCCCCTCAGTAATCGTAGGGGGTAGGGGTAGGGTTCGCATGTGGCCCCCTAGACGGGCCCCGCTTCCATAGGGAGTCGCGATCTCCGCCGTGGAGCGAGGCGGCGCCGGCCGCATTTTGGGGAGGGCGCCTCCCCCGATCCATGGATTTGGCGACCGCGCGCCAAATCCTCAGGAGGGAAAAAAACACACAGACACAATTAATCGGCGATTCCCCAGAAAATATAGGAAAATGGGAAGTGGGGGGGAAGACAAAAACCCAGAAAATATGGGGAATCGTTTTATTTGTGTGTATTTCTTTGTGTGTTTGTGGGCCCCGTCAGAGGAGGAGGAGGAGGGAGGCCCGGGAGGCCTCCGGGATGCAGCGTGCCGTCGGGGCGCGGAAGAAGGAGGGGCCCTTCTCGTTCGAGGAGGGGCTCCGTGTGCCTCGGTTGTGTTGCAGTCTTCCCTGTACTTTCCTTCGGTTGTCGACGGGGAGCCGAAGTTTAGCTTGCGGACAAAAATGGCCTCGTTCCTTGTTGATCGTTCCTAAGGTCAACGCTGAAGTCGGGCCTGTCCTTCTACAGGAGGAATATCCACAAAATGGTCAAAAAAGAGTCGGGGGACCATTGCTTAAACTATGTTCGAGCATGTCTGGAGCATTTGCAGGGTATTTTTGTTTTCAATTCGTCGTCCGAAATCCCCCTGTATGGGGGGGAGGCCCGGCCGAAAGTATGGGGGACAGGCCGGCCGAAGCCAATGCCCCTGAGTGTATTCCTCCGCCCGAAGTCCACTCCTCCGGGGTCCCTGCACGCACGTCTCTCCGCTGCCGGGAGCGCCCCTTGCCGGTCGGGCGAGGGGCCCCGTTTCGACATCGAAGCCGCCCTCGATCTCTGATTCGTTGCAAATCGGGCATGTCCCTCTACAGGAGGAACCTTCAAAACTAGTAAAAAAAAATCGTCTGGGGATTATATATATATATATATATACATATATTCATATATATATATATGTTGTGCCAGGCTTATGTATGTTTTTGATGTGTTTTTTATTTTCCGCCCAAAATCCGCCTGTAGGAGGACACCGCCCGACCTAAGGATTGTCTCATGCGGGGCCCCCACCTTGAAAATTGTACCGGCTCCATCCTGGAAGCGGTATTAAGACAAATGTGCGCGGCGCTAGGAGAAATGAGCCGCCCTTCATCCAGACAACACACCGCTGCAAACGTTTAAGACACCTGTGTGCGGCGCTTAGGCGGGAACCACATGTTGGCAACCACCGCCGTCCAGCCTTGTAACTGCTGGACGCGTTTCAGACGAACGTGCACGGCGCTAAGACGAGAGCCACACTTTAGAAATAGTGTGTCCTCCATCCGTATATATGTTACAAGCTTGTCGAGACGGACGCGCAAAGGCTATTATTGCGAGTGCCGGAATTTGAAAACGACCCGCGCTCCGTCTCTGTAACCGTTGGGAACTTCTAGGACGAATGTGCGCTTCACTATGGCGAGATCTATAATTTTGAAAGCGGCCGCCCTTCACCTGTGCAGCCATTGGAGGCTTCAAGCTTCAGGCTCAGAAGCGGTGAGTAATTCCCCAGGCGAAGCGCCTGACCCGCAGAACCGACACGTCTGGTGGTGGGACGAGGAGGAGCTGTTAATCAGGACGAGGGTTATGATGTTCCAACCTACTTTAGCCTTGATCACTAGAACGAATTTCGAGCACCAGGAAAAACAACCCCACAACTCTAGGAGTTTAAAGTGTCGGGCCTGGGACACTTTTTTCTTTTTCTTTTCTTTTTTTTTTCTTTTTTTTATTTTTTTTTTATTGTTTTTTTGAGTTTTTTTTTTTTTTTTCTTTTGTTTTTTCTCTTCTTCTTTTTTTCTTTTCTTTTTTTTTTTTCTTTTTTTTTTTTTTTTTTTTTTTCTTTCTTTTTTTTTTTCTTTCTTTTTTTTTTTTTCTTTTTTTTCTTTTTTCTTCTTTTTTTTTTTTTTTTTTTTCTTTTTTTGATCGCCCTTTTTTTCTTTTTTTTTTTTTTCTGTTTTTTTTTTCTTTCTTTTTTTTTTTTTTTCCCTTTTTTTTTTTTTCTTCTTCTTTCTTTTTTTTTTTTTTTTTTTTTTTTGTTTCTTTCGACACTTTCTTTCGACCACTTTCTAAGGTGCTCGAATTATTGAATCGCTTCGCTCATCCCGCCGGCCCGTATTGTGCCATCGCAGGCGTTTGCTTGCGCGTTCGTGGCCTCTTGGAGCCTCGGTAGGGCCGTTTGGGGCCTCTTGGCGCCTCTTTTTAGGCCTCTTGGAGAACTCGGGAGGCCTCCAGGGGGCCTCCTGAGCTCTCGTGACGGTCTCTTGGGGGGCTTTCGGCGGGCTCTTGGCGGTATTTTTCCTGGGTGCTCGAAATTATTTCTGGGATGTGGTCCTTAAATACGATGGGAGCAACATAAGACGAGGGATGATGGAGGGGGAGCAGGCGAGGCGGCAGAGGCGGAGCGGAAGAAGAAACAGCAAGCGGGAGGGGTGAGGAGGGGGGACAGGGGAAGGGGGAAGGGGGGGGGAGCAGCCTGACAGCGGGGGGGGGCCTGGAGGAAGGAAAGGAGGGGACTGACAAGATGGGGGATGAGAGGGGAAGGTGGAGGAGGAGGAGCAGGAGGAGGAGGGAGAGGAGGAGGCGGAGGAGGAGGAGGAGGGGGAGGAGGAGGAGAAGGAGGAGGGAGGAGGCGGAGAGAGAGAAGCGGAGGAGGAGGAGGAGGAGGGAGGAGGAGGAGGAGGAGGAGGAGGAGGAGGGGGATAGGAGGAGGAGGAGGAGAGGGGCAGTGGGGGGAGGGGGGGAGGGGAAACGTTTGAGGAGGAGAGGGCGAGGCGGGAGGAGGCGGATATTCGGCAGCATCCGCAGGAGAGATCGACGGATGCGTCAGGGGTTCGGAAAGAGGGAGGGTGAGGGAAGGGCAGGAGCATTAGGGTTAGGATGAGGACGTGATGGGGATGAGGATCCGAAATAGAGATAGAGAGAGAGAGAGAAAGAAAGAGAGAGAGAGAGAGAGAGAGAGAGAGAGCGAGAGAGGTAGAGAACAACGGAAGTGAGAGCAGGAGCAGTGATGATACATTCTCGAGTGCGCTTGGGAGGGCGAGGAGAAAAGGGGATGACGGATGAGGAGGAGGGGGAGCCGTGGCTTCTCTCTTTGCTGGGCCTTTCCCCATCAAACGCGGGAGCTCGGCATTGGCATGTTTTACGAGCTTGGACTTGACCGTGTCGCCCTGCGTTCTTATGCTTATGATCGCGTCCAGTCCGCCGCGAGGTCATCGCCAATATGGCGCTCGCCTTCGCCACAGCTGGACACTACAATCCAGAGCTCATGGAGGCACATCGTTCTCTTTCCTTCTCGTGCAGGAGGAGGAGGAGGAGGAAGAGGAAGGGGGTGGGGAGGATCAGGAGGTTTAATAGGAAGGGGGCTGCGAGTCTTCCGCCCGCCACTCTTTGACGCCATCTCTCGCGTTTGCTTTTGAGGCCGCGCTGCCATGAAGTGATCGAGCACGGCAAACGCCATT